TATTCCTACTACGATTTTCTGAGTGGCGAGGGGGCGTATTGTTTTTGCGCCCCTCTCCTGTTGCCACTTCTTTTTTCTTCATCTTTCTTATCAATTCATCTTGCTCTTTCACGCGATCTTTCAGAGCTTGAGGGTCAATTCTCCGCCTTTGCCTGTCGGGACTTTGAGAATGAGATTGACGGGGGCTGTGAGTCCGTCTTCCCCTAGTATCTCTCCTGGAGTTATGTCGTTGGGACTCCAAGTCCGCCATGGGAGGGACAGAAGGTAATCTTTCACGCCTTGCGCCTCCATCTGGTGTTAGCCCGTCGACGGCGGACTACGGCAATTCTTCAATGTGTGCCATTGATTGTAAAGGGGAGAAGCTTTAATCAAGAGGTTTTGTTCTGTCTGTTCTTCTCACAGACGGCGCCAATTGTACGGGAAAGAAATACACCTTCTCGTATAATCCTGTTGACTAAGTACGTACTCCTCCGTACGACGTCGCTTTGTCACCTGAAAACACAATCGTGAGCTAGCCGGCGGGTGTGTGCCGGAAACCTCTCTGATGCCTAAGTCAGCAAACTTGACAAATAGACAAAGCTCAATGTATTCAGAAAGCAAAATTGTATGTTGTGTTACCTCCTCCAAGGTGATGTTTTGTGAGCTTTTATAGGTTTCGAATGGCACAATCCTAGTAGGACGTTTATTTCTCCATGCAGAGTCCTCCTAGGATTCATACTCTAAAGGATAATGCTTATCCTTTTACACCCCCCACTGCTTGAACCAAGTGGGATGGTTTTTACCATGGCCGGACTACAATTTGACCGAAGTACCCATGGCCATGTATAGCCGCAGAATTAGCCGAACTAGTTATTCCTTTCATTTCTCTTACATCGGCTTCTCATGTACAGCACATGGCATGGTTGGACCGAACTAACAACACGAGACTGGTATAACTCCAAGACCGGTCTAACTCAAAGGTACCGCTAGATCGACCTATTCAAAATATATCATGACCGGACTGACTCTAAGACCGGCCTAGCTCAAAATTGCTCCGACCGAAATAGCTTTACAATTCTTCAGCCGAAGTAACTTCACCTCTTTCGGCCAGAGTAACTTTATCTCTCTTGGGCCGGAGTAATTTCTCGGCCCTTTCTACCTAGTCCGTACTTTGGGCCATAAAGTCCACTTCATAGCTCGGCCCAATTTTTACCAAAATTACCCTCTCAATAATAATAATAAAAGCAGAAAGATATAAAACGAAAACAAAAATGCTCATGAAAAGAAACCATAGTCTAGCCTCAACAAAGAAAAAAACAATAAAAACAATTCGACTTCCACTTTGAATGCCTCTCATGAACATACAATATATATTCTGAAAATTATTCAGATGCAATTACAAATGCTGAGATCCTCCTCTTCATACCATTAAAGACTATCTGTTAGACTAAATTATTATGTTAATTCACATGAGGTAATATGAATTAGAGATTTGACAGGATTATGATTTCATATTTGTTGTTACAACTAATTGGTACATATACAATTAATTGGTACATAAAAAAATATTTTCCAAGTATCTTACTTTAATGTAAAAGAAAAATGTTTTGAAACTCTAATAAATGAGTTCTAATAGCTCTAATGGATTGTGAGTGCTAGTGTAATAGTGATGTTTGTATTTTGTGATTTTAATTTATTCTTTTGACTTTTCATGTCATTAGAGCTCATTGATTTAGAGAGATGTATCATTGTTGGAAAGTAAATCATTGTTGAATAAAGAAATTGGTACTCTCCCTATCTATAAAAGAACATTCAGACTACCCAACAAATGATTCTGAAAATTCAATATATTCTAAAGAGAATTAAGAGATAAATATTTTTTCACTAATATTATTATTAAGTTTACATTCAATCAATTATAGATCACTCGAAAGTTTCGCATAACTGATTCGGATATGTTATTTATTTTCCGCATTATGTTATTATTTGTAAAAATCATGATAGTTCACGATTTTAGATTACAAAGATTGTTATATATATAACACCATAAAATTATTTACACTGTCTGATTTATTATTTTACTTTTGTAATGTTCGCTGTGATCATTTTTCCCGCTTTAATGTAATTTATTTTATGAACATATAATAATTATTTACAAGGTTGCAGAAAATGTATGGTGGTGCTCTTTGCTCTCCCAAAATTTCTTCCTCACGCGGCGACTTGAGCTGCAGCTAGCCTCGCGATAGGCACCCTGTCAAGAGAACCACCATTAGCTATACAATCCGATGAATTTCATTTTTTGTTTTGTTTTCTGTATTTTTGAAAAACAAAAACAATGAAATTTTCAAGAATAAAAAAAAGGATTAATTACATTAATAGTCCCTATACTTTGGGACTTGTGTCACTTTATTCCCTGACTTTTCAATTGTAACATATTTGACCATGAATTTTAAATCTTGTTCCAAATAAGGACAATTGAAAATATCATTAGATTTTTCAAGGGTAAAATCATCAATTTAATAAAATATAAACTAATTTGATAAAAATAAACGTCAAAAAAATATTTTTAATTTTTTAAAAATTATTCTTATCCCCCAATGATAAAATTATATAAAATTAATAAAAATTACATGATTAATTTTTTAAAATTAATTTTACATGATCATCTTCCAAACACATAATAAAAATTAATTTGGTAAAATAAATAAATAAATAAATATCTAAAAGATTTTTCAATTTTACATAATTTTATTTTTAGTAGGTAGAAATAATTTTTAAAAATTCAAAAATATTTGTTTGACATTTATTTTTGTCAAATTAGTTTATATTTTATCAAATTGACAATTTTACCCTTGAAAAATCTAATGATATCTTCAATTGTCCTTATTTGGAACAAGATTCAAAATTCAGGGTCAAATGTGTCACAATTGAAAAGTCAGTGACCAAAGTGACACAAACTCCAAACTATAGGAACTATTTTTGTAATTTACCCTAAAAAAAAACACCTCGTGTTTTTTATACTGGTTTTCAAAAATTTGAATACAATCTTGTTACTTTTCTAAATTTATGAAAATTAAAAAATATATTTTTAATTAGTATTTTTGTCAAATAAATTTCTAATTTTTCCAAAAAGAAAAATATATCATTCAAAAATCAACACAAATAACCCAGTTTTTGGTGTTTCCTAGTAGTTTTCAGTTTATTTATTTTTCTGACAACTGTTTTCAGAAACAGCAATAATATGTTTTCAAAAAATTAACACAATTAAAATTGTATTGAGAGATACAAAACGAATCCCACCTGAATGGAGAGCACGAAACATAGTCCAGGCCGGCCTCTGCAAAGAACGCGACAGAAGAAGGCTCACCGCCATGCTCTCCACATATTCCGACCTGTTATAATCCATCAAATTAGCATATGACTACTGCAAATGACCTCAGAAAATGAATCCCCTATATTACAATAGTAATGTACAACTAGCCTGCCCTCTCATGGCATTTTTTCCAGCCTCATTCCAATGAATCAAACATTGAATAAGAGTCAATTTTGGCATCATTGTTTCACCCATTGTTCATGTGGAGCATTGCGTACGGTTGTGTTTGGATCTAAGATTTGTGGAGGGAAAAGAGAAGGGAGCAAATCTCAACCTAATTCAAGATCCAAACAAACCCAGCCTAAAGCCATCAAATTGATAACATTGCAATAACTCTCTGCATGAAAGGTGCAGTTTGTTGGGTATATTTTCTTATTGGAGTGTGAGACCCAATTGATTTATTAAAGAGTTTTAATTTGACTTGGTTTAAGTATAATATATTTTTATATATTATATTTTTGGAGACCCAATTCAATTTGATAACAATTAGAACTTGTTTTTAAAACCCAAGATTCAATATATAGATATAGATTGTGTTGGAAATGGTTATAAAATTCTGGATAAAACCAGAATTTTTTCCTAAGTTCGGTCTATTTTTTAGGTGGGCCCCGAGTGTCGATTTACTCGGGTCAAAGTGGTAACGCGTTCTATGCCGCGTTGTGATTCACGTGGTATATTTGGTTGATCAAAACCATTACCGAGTGAATGGGAAATTAAAGCCAAAGTGTGCTCCATGGAAATAAAGTTTTGGTGGAAATTCCTTAAGGTGGTAAATTGGCTTGTCCCACATTGATTTGGTGGGAAGTTTTAAAAGGGTTTATTAAGGCTTAGGGTGAGATACTTGGGGTGTGTCCCAAGGGGTACCCAAGTGTTTTAAGAGGGATAGGTTATGGGCAAAATGGGCTAGACCATTGGACCCAACAAAGTCACCACACGCGCGCGCCGCGCCGTCCGTCCGGTTGGGCTTCTAATCTTTTTGGGCCAAAAAACATATCCAACAGGCCCTTTCGCCGTTTTCAAACAGAATTAACTGTTGGATTATTGCTCTCAAACAGAACCCCTTCCCGTCCGGTTGGCTTTTAATCTTTTTGGGCCAAAAAACATATCCAAACAGGCCCTTCCCGTTTCCAAACAGAATTAAACCTGTTTTGGATTTATTGCTCATTCGGGCCAAGACAAGCCCTTTCCCGTTTTTTTCTATTCTGGTTTTTTTTTTTTGAAGTAATAGATTCCAAATCTGTTTAATTATGAATCTAAGACGAGCTTTCATACCTGTTCAATTCAAAGCCACAAAGCCACCTTTGACATTATAATAGACGCTAGCCCGTCCCATTTTGAATTTTATTCCAAATTGTTCGGTACTGTCCAGCCCTCTGCTGATTATATTCTTCATTTTGCTCATTTTATTTCCGAAAGAAAGGAGTGTAAACACTTATGTGTTCGTAAGGCAAACAATTTGTAGTGCTGCTATTCGTTTTGTGGTAAGATCATTCATCCAGGAGATAGACGCCCAAATTCTGAAAACACCGTGAGAGACGAATCTGTCTTAGGACAACAGTGTTAGAACACTGGATTGATCAGATAAGTTATTCAAATAAATTAACGAAGTAAGTTGTTTAATTTTATTGTTTTTTTTAATTGGTTTTTTAATTCCCCAAGATTTCATTTTTGTTTGTTGTAACAAAATAAAATCTGTGGATTTTATTTATTTTGTATTTTCTTTCGAGTTTGATTTTTTAATCAAACAAATTCTCTATTTTTCTTCTATTTCTTTTAAATCTCTAATTGTTGTTGTGTACACATAGAATTAAATTCTTTTAAATACAGTGAAGATTGTCCAACAATCTTAAGACAGAGACTCCTCTTTGGGTATCTTCCATTGTAGTTTAATTTTCTGTGTTTCAAATTAATATGTCTGGTTGAAAACACATATAGTGATTTATTGTATTTGCAGATAGTAGTAATTATACTGTCTCTTTCTTCTGACAAAACTTAGTATACCATACTGGTGTTATTACCAAATTCAGAATTTATTTGGTCCTTACAGACAAATTCTTGTGAATTTTATCTTTTCTAGTTTAGCTAACAAAGAAAATAAAATTATTTTTGTTGTTATACATTTTTTTCTGGTTTGAGTAACTAAAATTAATTTGTGTTTTAATTTTTTTCTGATTTTTGTGAATCAGAGATTATAGGCTACTACAACTGAAACTGGCATCTGGCAGTGGTACATCCCTATTGTTACACCTACATCGTTCCCTATTCAGACCATTTCATGTACGCATCAATCAATGGAGAAAAACTGGAAAAATTTAACGGTACGGCACTGGATTTTAAGAGATGCAGCAGAAGTATGCCTGTTCAATCTTACAAGACTCTAATTTGGCTCGTTTCTCCATTAGAAGAGGCTCCAGCACTTAAAGAAGGGTGAAAGTGATCGCAAGTTGTTGCGGCTGGTAGATGCTTGGAAATATTCAGCGATTTCCTGTGCAGAAACTACATCATAAATGGCCTTGACAATATGCTTATACATGTATATCAGTCCCTCTGAAAACAGCAAAAATTGTGGCGATTCTTTGGAGAAGAAATCAAGAGCGAAGATGCCGGCACGAAGAAATTTGTCGTCGGTAAATTTCTGGACTGTTTGTTAATAGGTAGACTCCAAACGCGTAATATCTCAATGTCAAAAGTTTTCAAATAATTTGCATGATATTCCATTCCAGAAGGTATGTCTCTTAGCGAGCCTTCCAAGTCGCTGCTTTAAGTGGAGAAAGTTTACCAACGGCTTGAAATATTTCAAAAAATTATTTTAAAACATAAGAACGCAAAGAGTGACTATGGAATGAAAGTTGAATTATAAAGATTTAAGAAATTGAATGAAGATAACCGAAAGGCTGAAAAGTGAAATGGGAAAATCCAATTGAGTCCAAGGCTAATGTGGATTGAACAAGTTCATAACAACATAACAAAAGCAGGAAGTTTTACTGGAGATGGTCCTAAAACAAAGCGATAGTAGGCAAGAAGTTCAAAGGAAAATGCTATACTGTGGCAAAACTGGACATCGAGCTTCTGACTGCTGCGGCCCTAAGAAGGATCATGGAAGTACAAGTAAGAAGACCACCAATCAGGGCCCAATGTAACAGAATTGGATTACATCTTTGACGGAGTAATGAACATCAACCTCTCTTGCTGTGGTGTCTGAGGGCTAACTTGGTTAGAATCCCAAAGAGTGGTGGGTCTGACACTAGAGCAACTCCGCTCCTTTTGTGCGACAAGAAGATGTTCACTACCTACAATGAGACGCAATATGGTGAACAAACTTTTCAATGGGAAAAGTTCTTCGTACTTCTACTGTGGCTGGACAAGGGAAAGTGTGATCTTGAAGTGACGGGAAAGAATGACGCCCTCCAAATCAACGTACTGCATGTACCTACATCCGGAAGAATTTAAGTTTGCTGGGCTTTGTATTAAGAAAAAATGTTTTAGATTTGTATTTGAGGTCTGATAAATTTTGGTATTAACAAGGCACTGATATGTATGCTGGTAAGTGGATATACATGAGTGATGGTCTCTTTAAGTTGAATGTAATGACAGTTGACCGAAAGTTGCTATGAATAAGAATACACATCTTTTGTTTATATTCTTGAGTCAAATTTATGGCTGGTAGATTAGGACAGTTTTGAATTTTGATTGCTTTGCGTAGATTTAATTGTTTAGATCATATACCAAGTTTGAAATTAAATCCTAATCCATAATGTGAAATTTGGTGTAGAAGCGAAACTTAACTAAGGCTCCATTTTAAATGGGTTTGAAAGAAAACCGAACCTCTAGAAATTAATTCATACTGATGTATGTGATTAAATTTATTACAAACTAGAGGAGGCAAAAAGTATTTCATAACATTTTCGATGATTGCACAGATATTTGTTATGTTTTTACTTTACTTAGAAGTTAAAGATGAAGCCTTAGAAATGTTTAAACTCTACAAAACAAAAGTTGAAAATCAAACTTGTAAAACCATTAAAATGGTTTAGAAGTGATAGGGGTGGTGAATATGATGCAACATTAAATGAATTTTTGTGCACAACATCGGCATTATTCACCAAACTACAGCCCCTTATTCTCCACAAGCAAAATGGAATTGCTGAAAGAAGAATAAGACCTAAAACAGAATGAATGAATGCCATGTTACTAGTCAGCTTACCAACAGAACTTGTGGGGGGAAGCAATATTGTCTGTTAATTTTGTTCTTTAATAGAATACCCTACAAG